TCAACTTTACCTATATCATACATGATAATGATCACTGGCGGCTAACGAGCTGCTCGACCATTATTACATGCAGTGGAAGGGAATGACCTCCCCTCCTGCTGCCTTTTGCCCCTTGCTTGGGCTCTCTCATCCCCACCAGGAGAGCTGACCTACCAGCTGGCGCGTCCACCGGCTGGCCAGACACCCAATGAAAACCGGAACTGGAAGTGACGACTACCAGGGTCATTACCTTCTTCATCGTTTTTATAAATAAGATACTACACTATACTGTAGTTCTTTCCTTTTGGTTTGATGTTTTTGTGTTTCTGGATGGATGCATCAAGAACAATGGAGATTGGGGAAGAGCTATAGCGGAGTGGCATTACTGGTTTGGAGGATACTCAATATCCCGCAGTGCTTCTTGACCTTTAGTAATATAGAGGTCACTGGATGGTGATGAGTGTGCACTTCTCACAGGGGGGGGAATCAAGGTGGCACAATTGCAAGATTTGTTATATTAAAGGCACAGGGGATTGTAATGCACAGTGTGGTAGACATATTGCATATGTTGGACAGGTAATTGTTTAGGATGGAGAGAACAAGTAGTGGAGAGTTTTGTATCTCGATGCACACTTAGACTATAGAACCTCTTAGAGCATTGGAAATCTATATTATATTTGAAAAAAAGTCTTCTACATACTTACTCTTGCTCACATACAGATAAGTTGATGGTGCCAAGAAAGAAAAGGAGTAACAGGGATTTCTTCGAGGTGAACATCTTTGAGCTCTCTGGATAATTTGGATTCATAGAAAGAAAAAGAGACAAAATTGAAAATATGACTCAAAAATATTACTAGGCCCCCTATTGTTAGGTGCACATAAAATGGTTGTTCCATTACAATAAAAAGTCAATGTTTGCTCGAAATCATCATAAAGAATCGCATACACCTGGCACCCGTTATGGGCAGGTTGAGTGTATTTTTTAATGACATGGATTTACTTGATGCTTTCTGGACCTTACTGGATCTGGCTACCCATGGATAAAATAAATAATTGGGGGTCTTGACCTATCTTGTTCCTCAATCCCAAAAGGAAGAGCACAGCGGGGTTCCTAGGTGTCAATAAGAGCTGGGTCACAAGAACCAAAGTTCTAGTCTCCATTTCCAGGGCTTTCTATCTTAAACAGAAATACGTTTTGCCTCACCTGGTCTACCCACTCTGGGCCTCACTCAAGTAGTGCTAAAGGATGTTAGATGGAAAATAATTGTATTGTATATGAATCTGCTTTACTAACGGACTAAGAGTTTCATTAAGGTTTTTCTTGTATGGATGGGAAGAGTCCCCAGATAATGGTCTCTATGATTTTAATTTGTTCCAGGTTTATAGAGAAGGAGAATGAGACTATTGACAAAAAAAATTAACAACACCCCCCCCCCCCACAAAAAAAAACACACAAAACAGGCAGACTAGATGGACCACTCGGTCTTTTTCTGCCGTCACTTTTCTATGTTTCTATTGAAATTATGTGAAAATGGTTGATCATTATTTATATGGAATAGAAATAGCTTTCTACTGTACTATTTCCTAATAAGGTTTAAATATATGTATAACTGTGATAGAATATGTAATAATATTTGGGTCAAATGATTGATATTGCAATTCATTGAAAGTGTGTTAGGTTTTACTATGTACTGAAGGGCAATATCCCATCCCCCTCTTCTACTGGTCAGCTGGTAACAAAGATTTGAATGACACCATGTGCAACATGTAGTATCTGCTCTGTACCAGAATTGTTCTCTAACATCCGGACACACATTTCCACAAATCTGCACACACAAATCTGACTTAAGCAAAGTTATTTTGTTTCTGCTAAAACTTTATATTTATTAGGTTTTTTATTTTGTTACATTTACTAATTAAGTACAAAAATTCCTGACAAAACACATTTTTTTATTTTTATACAAGTAAATAGTTAGAGAAAGGACCACTGATCAGACTGCTAAACGGGGACTTATTACGGACCCCAGTACGAGCTGTGGAAGAACTTAAGAGAACCAGAAATACAATTTTAATTTTAATCATCAGTACAGTTTTCTTCTGAAAATACAATACAAATACCCATTACATCACTGTACGGAATTTCTTTTAGTCATACCATAACGAGAATTATAGTAACTATAGAACCTCTTTACTTTCAAATGTGAGTTAAAGTTTGAAGAAAAAAAGAGGATTTACCTAAAACATTCATTGTGTGTAAATAAGGGCCATTAAAGGGGAAAGATGATATGAGGAAAAAACCATCATTTCAAGTCAAACTAAAACAGAGGCAATTCAACTTTACCTGGAAATCTGAATACGAAGGTTTCTTTCTTATCAACATTATACATACTAGCAATAATATGCAGGATAATGATACCTTCCAGCATAGACCCCTTACTTACAGTGCGGGTTCAGTTGGTACTGAGAATGGCTTCCATCTTCAGCCAGACTTCCTTCCGGGTCTACCCAATGAAGTTCTGGACGCTGATTGGCCGAGCCTCAATGTTTGTCACTCCCGTCACATTTTCTTAGGTCTCTGGACACTGGCACAATATGCTCATTCAAGCTTTATCTTCAGCCATGTGCCAGTGGATAAATAAGAGCACCCAGTATCTCAGGGTGCATGTTTAGATATCTCCTGATCTGCTACGTTTATTGACAGTTGGAAGTAAAAGATACATCAAGTCAATTTACTTCCAGTGGAATTCCAGTTTATTTTTTTCCTATACAGTAGCATGGAGTCATTTTGGACAGTTATGTGATCTTTTTTAAAGCCTGGTACTCACGATCAGAAAATCATATGAAAAAATACCAGTTTTAAAGGGATCGTATGATAATCTGAATATTAGTACATAGCTTTCATCAAAAATATTTGAAGGGACCCCTCACAAATATTTTTCTTGCACGAGGACCAGATCCTACAATTTTAATTTAAATCAGTACAGTTCCCCGTTATGAAAATACAATACAAATACATTACATCACTTACAAATTTACTCCTGTATAAGAATTTTCGTACACAGTAGTAACCTCCCACTTTCAAAGTACTCCATTCATAGTGATGTTCCTCATGTGTGTACAGTTAATGTAGTAATCCCAACTTGAAAAAAAAAATCCCTGGTACTCATAATGTGCTAGGATGCATGCATGTAGCACAGTTATGTATACCCAAACCCCTGTACTCCAGCAGTGCGGCGTGACACTGCAACAGGCTTCCATCTTCACCTCCCAGTCTTCCTTACTGGGTTTGTGATGTGGACATGTATACAGTAAGCCGCATGATGTCACTCCCCACACGGGAGTCTGATGGACACGTATACACAGTATGTATCTGAAGCCCAGCTCCCCTGTAGCGCATGTACCAGATGGACATGTATACAGAATGCGAATATCTCCAAGCTCCCCTGCATGTTTAGGAGATGATTCACATGTACCTACAGTAAGCTTTATATGTAAGTTCCCCTGTAAGTAAAAGATACAAAAGTGGGTTTACTTCCAGACATCCCTGGTTTCTGGGGACCGGACCATGTAAGGTTAAATAATCCCAGCTAATGTAACTCCTTTGACTCTGGAGTGGATGTGATATGGTGGGTTAACAGTAATGTAAAATTTTGAGTCCCCTGTACTCCATTATAGTGATGTCATGTACAAAAATTATATCCACCAGTTGCCCCACCCAACCTTGCCCAGTGATCCCCCCCCCCAGTACCCCAATCCCCAGCCCCCAACCACACCCCTTAAATGTACACAGTATTGAAATTCCATTTTTATTTAGAATAAATAGTCTGAAATATAAAACTGTATACAGTAATGTATATCCCAGCTCCCCTGTACTCCCTTATAGTGATATGACATGTACACAGTATGTATATCCCAGCTCCCCCTGTACTCCATTATAGTGATGTGACATGTATACAGTAATGTATATCCCAGCTCCCCTGTACTCCATTATAGTATGTCCATTATACAGTTATGTATATCCCAGCTCCCCTGTACTCCATTATAGTGATGTGACATGTATACAGTATGTATATCCCAGCTCCCCTGTACTCCATTATAGTGATGTGACATGTATACAGTAATGTATATCCCAGCTCCCCTGTACTCCATTATAGTGATGTGACATGTATACAGTATGTATATCCCAGCTCCCCTGTACTCCATTATAGTGATGTGACATGTATACAGTATGTATATCCCAGCTCCCCTGTACTCCATTATAGTGATGTGACATGTATACAGTATGTATATCCCAGCTCCCCTGTACTCCATTATAGTGATGTGACATGTATACAGTAATGTATATCCCAGCTCCCCTGTACTCCATTATAGTGATGTGACATGTATACAGTAATGTATATCCCAGCTCCCTTGTACTCCATTTATAGTGATGTGACATGTATACAGTAATGTATATCCCAGCTCTCCCATGTACTCCATTATAGTGATGTGACATGTATTCAGTAATGTATATCCCCCCTCTCCCCTGTACTCCATTATAGTGATATGACATGTATACAGTAATGTATATCCCAGCTCCCCTGTACTCCATTATAGTGATGTGACATGTACCAGCTCCCCTGTACTCCATTATAGTGATATGATATGTATACACTAATCATAGTAATGTATATCCCAGCTCCCTGTACTCCATTATAGTGATAGGACATGTTGTATACAGTACTTACTGTCCCCCCGAGTCCCCTGCAGCGGTGGAGAGCAGACCTCTCCTGCACCTGTCCCCTCGGCGGCGGTACCGCAGAAGCCGAAAACCAGAAGTTGTAAACCAGAACTCGGCTTCACAATGAGGCTTGGAGCACAGGTGCAGTCGCTCCATGCTTCATCTGTGCTCACCGTTCGCAGCCGCTTGCCACAGAGGAATGTCTCCTCGCATTTGGCGAGCGGCCCGAGCGGCCTTTTCAAGCCCTGGGTTAATAGATGGGGTACTGGAGGTTCAGTCAAGCCAGTCCCCATTGGTTGAAGCTGTTGGTTATGTGTTATAGAAGACACTGGTAGTGATAGCAGAATTCAGGCTTTACTTGTGTGGCTTAAGTTACAAACATACAGAGCACATTTCATCAGACATATTACAGACTCATTACTTCCTGAAGAGATGATAGAGAGGAGGAAAGTATCAGCAAGTTTTACACATACACAAATTAGTAACCTTTAGCATGCAGTGCCATCTACTGGTCAAGTGATATTACCACAGAATACTGTATATAGTACATTATAGTACATGCTGTTGCATTCCCAACACCCCTTCTCAACAGCATGTGCATAATTATATGACATTTAGTCTCTTTTGTAGAAAAACAATGACGTTCCCTTGGCAAAGGTTTGATCAGTGCGTCTGCAGTCATCTCCTCTGATGGGCAGTACTGGATGTCGATAACCCCTTGTTCTTGCATGTCTCTGAGCAGATGATATCTTACATCAATGTGCTTGGTTCTTGGTTAATCTTCTCAGAGTGTGTAAGCTTTATGCATCCCTGATTGTCTTCAAAGATGGGTGTGGGTTGTGACATGTTCAGTCCCATGTCTAGTAGAAGTTGACGAATCCAAATGGCTTCTTGACATGCATGTGCTGCTGCTATGTATTCCGCTTCAGTTGAAGAGAGTGCAACAGTCACTTGTTTCCGACTAGACCAGCTTATGGTTCCTTGTCCATACTGGAACATGTAACCACTTGTAGATTTGCGGTCAGTGGTGTCTCCAGCCCAATCGGCGTCCACATATCCAATCAGTTTTGGGTTTGACGATGCTGGAAGTCGCAGCTTCATCCGATTTGTTCCCTTTAGGTATTGCATTACCCTCTTTACTGCATTCCAGTCACGTTGACACGGTGTTGCGACTTTCCTGCAAAGTATTCCCACTGCTAGGGTGATGTCTGGTCTTGTCCTGGTGGCGATGTATAGCAATTTTCTGATTGCCCTGGTAATAATCATTGTTAGGTAACAAGTTTTCTGTTCCATTGTTTTTTTAGATAATTTGGTTCCATTAGTGTTTTTGCTTCCTTTGCATCTTGCATGTGAAACTGTTCTAACATTTCTGTAATTTTCTGACTTTGGTTAAGAAGATAGCTTCCATCCTCTTCCCGCTCTATTTGAATTCCTAGGTAGTGAGTAATGTTCCCCAACTCTTACTTTCAAAATTTGTTTCAGTTTGTGAACTATTTGGTCATAGTCCCCTTCTTGTTCAAAACACGTCAAGATGTCATCGACGTATATTAGGATGTATGTCCATTTATTCTCTTGATTCTTTGAATACAGACATGGATCTGCTTTACTTTTTGAGAACCCTTCTTTTCTGAGTATTTCGTTCACTTTTTCATTCCATGCTCTCGCCGCTTGCTTGAGCCCGTAGATGCTCTTTTGCAGTTTGCATACATGGTTCTTTTCTTTCTCAAAGCCTGGTGGCTGTTCCATGTACAGATCCTCCTTGATGTCTCCATACAAAAAGGCAGTTTTGACATCTAGATGCTTTTACTTGCATTCCCTTTCCGGCAGCAATACTAAGGAGTGTTCTTATAGTAGAATGTTTCACAACTGGAGCAAATGTCTCATCGTAATCTTCTCCAAATTTCTGGGAGTATCCCTTGGCAACTAATCTTGCTTTGTATCTATGGATGTTTCCTTCTGCATCATATTTTATTTTAAAAGTCCATTTGCTTCCGATGGTTTTGCGACCAGGAGGGAGTTCTGTTAGTGACCAAGTTTTATTTTCTTGAAGTGATTTTATTTCTTCTTCAGCTGCTTTTCTCCACTGATCAGCTTCCCTTCTCGGCAAAGTTTCTATGTCTTCCCAGGATGTTGGCTCCTGTGTTTGATGTGTTTTAGCAGCGTATGATAACCTGCGGGGTGGTATCCCTTTTGTCATTCGAGAGGATCTTCTGATTTCTTGTTGTTCAGTGGGTTCTATTGGATCGTTGATTGTAAGTTCCACTTCTTGTCCTGGCTCTTATCCTGCTTCGCATGGGTCAGTTGTCTCTTGCCGATTCAGTGTGTAAATCCTCTCCACATTTTTCAAAAATCTGGTGCTTCACTTTCATCAAAATAAACACTGCGGCTTACTGTGACCTTGTTGGTCTTTGGACAAAGGATTCTATATCCCTTACTCTGCTCACTGTAGCCGACCAGAATGCCTTCTATGGCTTGGAACATATAGAACATTCTTTATAAGGATGCTCTGCTTGCCCCCTGATGGCGTTTTGCAGTTCAGAAATCCCTGACCTTTACCTTCTGCTGTAATACTTTTCCCATTTGCTAGGAAGACTTTATCTTTTACACTAAAATCAATTTCTGTGAAGAATGTCTCGTCACTTGTAATGTGACTTGTTGCCCCTGAATCAATGTACCATCCATGTGAGGTACTATTCTGAGTCACTTTAAAAGTACCACTCCATGATGCACTTTCATTTTCTTTCATGACTGCTTTAGCTCTTTCTCTTGTGGGTAGCTCCCGCTTTCGCTGCTCAGCTTTCCAGATTGAACAGTTCTTTTTCAGGTGACCGGCCTTTTTGCAGCGAAAACATACCCTGGTTTCTTTGCTTTGTCTTATGCCTTCATGCACCTTCAGAGCTGCCTCTGGTCTCTCGTTCTCTTCACTATGCAAATTTTCCTTTCTTCTGCTGTATTCATCAATTAATTTTCCCTTAACATATTCTAGCGTCAGTTCAGTTTCCGGTCTAGTTTCTAGAGCATTTATAAGGGCACTGTATGATTCTGGAAGGCTGCACAGAAGTATTGACAGAACATGGTTGCTTTTTAAATCTTCACCTATTGCACCCAGCTGGTCCACAATTTCTAGCATAGCATTTACATGTTCACCCATTTCCTGCCCTTTTTCCAGCCTCATCTTATACAGTTTGCGTAGCAGATATAGTTTACTGTTTAGGTTTGCATGTTCATGCAGTCTTTGTAATGCAGTCCACATACCTTTAGCTGTGCTTTCTTTCCTTATATGAATGAGCTGATCATCCTCCACTAACAGGCTTATGACTGCTTTTGCTTGCCTGTTTTTCCTGTCCCATTCTTCCGGGTTGTCATTGGGTCTGTGTGTATCTAGTACCTGCCACAAGTCATCTTTGGATAACAGCATTTCAAGCTTCTGTGTCCCTAAGTAACGGTTCTGTGTCCCTAAGTAACGATTATGTGGCCCTAAGTAATGGTTCTGTGTCCCTAAGTAACGATTCTGTGGCCCTAAGTAACGGTTCTGTGTCCCTAAGTAACGGTTCTGTGTCCCTAAGTAACGGTTCTGTGGCCCTAAGTAACAGTTCTGTGTCCCTAAGTAACGGTTCTGTGTCCCTAAGTAACGTTTCTGTGTCCCTAAGTAACGATTCTGTGGCCCTAACTTTGTCCCTCAATACAGACAGGTCTGCCTCTCTTGAATGACTGGAGGCTAATGGAGAATTCTAAAATGGCCGCAATTTATAGCTCGACCATTACACAGTGCTGGCTGGCTGCTGATTGGCTAATGCGATCACATGTCATGAATGAATGCATTATGGGTCAGCGCGCCTTGTCTGCGCGCCTTCCCAGAGATCCCCGCTCCGTCGCCGCACATGTCGCCGCCATTTTAGGAAAAATTTCGATTCGCGCATCCGAAGTCTGCTAATTTTCAGACTTCTGCTAATTTTCCTAATATTCGAAACGAATTCCACTTCGCCTAGTTCGATTCGCTCATCTCTAATAATAATGTGAGATCTGGGATGGAGGTGATAGGAAATGAGACACATTAACTTGATCAGTAAATAAATAGTTAAATAAAAAGAGTGGGGCGGAGATACATAGATTTGCAGATGGAATAGGTGATGACGGGGGTGGAGTGGGGGAGGGGGTCAAGTTGTGTAAGGAGAGAGGCTTAAGGGCTCATTCACACTTGAATTTATTTCTAACTCTTGCCCAATGGCCCTATAGTGTTTTACAGGCATTTGGGAAGCGTTTTTAACGCTCCTCAAATGCTCCCCAAACACCCTATGCATGGTTTTGAGGCATTTGATAAGCTTTAAAACTGCACCACAAATGCCTGTAATGAAGTTAAATGGTATTAACACTCCACAACCGCGTTGCAACCTGCCAGGCGTTTGAAGAGCGGCACCATAGACTTGAATGGGAGACTTCAACTCCTCCTGACTCAACATGAGGCACCAGTTTTGCTGCGACGCAACGCTAACGCTTCAGTGTGAACAGCACTGTGTGCTGACATGTGCAGAATTTTCATAGGCATTTGAGAAGTGTTAAAAATGCTTCCCAAACGCCTGTCTGATGCCTGCTGACAAAGCTAATGTGAACATAGCCTAAGAGAAGAGAAAAAAGTTGCAATAAGTTGCCTAAGTAACGATTCTGTGGCCCTAAGTAACGGTTCTGTGTCCCTAAGTAACGGTTTCTGTGTCCCTAAGTAACGGTTCTGTGTCCCTAAGTAACGGTTCTGTGGCCCAAAGTAACGGTTCTGTGTTCTGTCCCTAAGTAACGGTTCTGTGTCCCTAAGTAACGATTCTGTGTCCCTAAGTAACGATTCTGTGGCCCTAACTTTGTCCCTCAATACAGACAGGTCTGCCTCTCTTGAATGACTGGAGGCTAATGGAGAATTCTAAAATGGCCGCAATTTATAGCTCGACCATTACACAGTGCTGGCTGGCTGCTGCTGATTGGCTAATGCGATCACATGTCATGAATGAATGCATTATGGGTCAGCGCGCCTTGTCTGCGCGCCTTCCCAGAGATCCCCGCTCCGTCGCTGCCATTTTAGGAAAAATTTTGATTCGCGCATCCGAAGTCTGCTAATTTACGGTTTCGGCGCGAATCGAAATTTTCCTAATATTCGAAACGAATTCCACTTCGCCAAGTTCGATTCGCTCATCTCTAGTAATTACCACAAGCACTCAGAGTCCAGAAGGCCCAAAGACTAAAAATCCTCAAGGATTTCTTGGTCT